GTTTAGATTGAATGGTAATTTATAATCAGTCACAAGAACGTCGAATCTGAATCACTTGAAAAAAACACGGGGGTGCTTAACTTTTTTCCAGGTGTATATGTTAGGATAATATTAAAAACAAAATTCACTTTGCATATACTATAATTTTTTATCTAAAGAATGGAAATGATTGACAGTAGAAAAAAAAAAGGTAACAGAAAACCTCTGAGGTAGAAAACTTACGAATGCCTCCGATATAACTACATCTTGAATTAGCACTGGCTTCTTAATAACAAAATATTTATTCACGTGTTAGTGGTTTGGAAAAGGGGTGGGTGTGTTGATATACTCGCGCTATAGTTGTAGAGACATTAAAGCCAAGGTAATGTCTTTTGCAGCAGTGTATGTAGATAAGAAGAAAATAAATAAGTACACCGCCACGTTTCTATTTTAACTTTTCTACTTACGATTCGAACTGTATAAACATCCAATAATATTTTCCTTCTGCCTGCGGGCTTGAGAAGAATGTAATCTTTTTTGTGGTTATTTTCGATTCCATATCACTATATCTATATTTAAAAACAATTTGGTAAGACGTCTATTGTATTGTCGTAAGCTATATATATCTTTTTTTTAAAGTTTTGATTTAACTGTTTGCTAGAGAGGATTGCTAAGATGATGATGATGACGCTAGATTTAGAAAGATAATAAAACTGGGCCAAGAATACCTAAAATGTCCATGAATGTTAATAATAGAGAGTTTGTGAAATATCTTGAAATAAGGATATATTATAAATACGATAATCAGCAAAGCACTAAGTTCAGTGAATCAGTTAGTTCAATGAATGTGAAAGTGAAGTGGATGATCGAGCAAAGTTAATAAGTTTTAATTTATTCTGTATTTGTTATCAATCAAGGAAATTTCTGTTAAAAGTGAAAAGGCTATTTTTAACTTAAGCATACGATTGTGTACAAGTATAATAGGCTGAAGTAAGTGTTAAGGAAGTAGTAAACTAATTAGTTATCGTTACATGGACTGACCTTCACATTACTTTCACTAAGTAATTTAAAAGAACCCACTGAACGGTAGAAATGAGAAACATCTTACAACACATGTGTCAAGAGTTGGATTATTTTGATGAAAAAAAATTTTAATTTTAATTCAAGATAACCAAAAGAGCATAAAGCTAGATAAGAAACCTATTAGAGTTGATAAAACAATGAAAAGAAGAACAAGAAGAAAGAGACAGAGTATTAAAAAAATGTTGAAAAGAAAGTGATAGAAAATTAAAAGAAGAACAAGAAAGAGATAGAAAAATTGGAAGAACGTGAAATGAAATTAAAAGACCAAAAGGTGATAGACTGGAACTTAAAAGAGGAGTTCAAAGAAATGCACTACTTAAACAAGAATTAAAATCAAAAATAAATTTGATTGAAGACAAGATCAATGAGGCTACTGAAGACATACAGAGAAATTACAATAACAAAACTGAGGAAGTACAAAAAGACTGAAATGACAAAATTGAAGAGGGACAAAAAAGGGCATGAACAAAGTAAAGTAAAGAAGTACATCAGCAAAGTAGAAAAGAATATCAGTGACCAAATATAATATGTGCAAAATGAATTATTAAATACAACAATATAATCAGCCATATGTCTTTCTTCTTCTACCAGATTTCCAACTTAAAATACCATCTACAAAATATGGAATAGAAGAATTTATTTGGTCGACACCCATTATCACTACTTCTGTGCCATTTGTTACCGCAAGACCTTCTTGTACTACTTCAGCCATTTCACTACCAAATCCAGTTCAAGAACTTAGTTGGTTGTTTCAACAACATTGCACTATTGAGAAACCAACAAAGTATGATAGAAAGGTAACATGGAAAAGATATTAGTTTGAAATTACTTCCAAGACAAACATATGGAAGAACGGACAACAAAATATTCATCTTGTGCCCATTTAACAGGACCAGCTTTAACAACATTAAGTAAACTTCCAGCTGAAATCCGCAACAACTATCAAGCATTGGTAGCTGCTTTATCCAACAGGTTTGAAGTGACACGCCAAAAGGAAATATCCAGAGCAAAGTTCTGAGACGGGGTATAGAGAAAAGAAAATAGCTCAGCTAAAGTTGCAGAAGACTTAGCAAATGCTTGCTTACTTATTTTACCAGAACATTAATCGTAAAATGATGAATTTGTTGGCATATAATCAATTTACATATGCCATATGAGACGAGGATATGAGAATTTGAGTGAAGCAAAGTAGGTGTACATCTTCAAAGAAAGCCCTGCAGTTGGCAAAGGAATTTAAATTCATTAAAGTTGCAGATAAACACCTAAAGACACCTTCTAGAAGGTGCAGGATCAACAGAATCTGTAGCTTTTAAAAGTCCTATTTACAGCAACAAGTTTTGAACAAAGTGAAAAACAGAAAAGCAGTTTATCGACATATAGTTTTTTATGTACAAAAATATACTCGTGTATATATATATATATATATATATATATATATACATATACAGTACTGTGCAAAAGTATTAGGACAAAGTCAAATATTAGATTTCAGGCTACTTTCAAAGAACAATGGAAGGTAAACCACAGGTGAAACATCAAAATCTTATTAATCTTCATATTTAGTGAAACAGAAACTCAGTGGAAGTGCTTGAGTTCACCAAACAGTTAATATTTTGTGCGTCCCCCTTTTGCTTTAATAATTACATACAGTCTTTCAGGCATTGTTGCAACATACTTAATCAAAGTGTCCTCTGGGATTTTACTCCAAATGTCTCTCATACAGTCCCATAAAATTTCTTTAAAAGTAGCTTTTGATTTGTCAAGTTTTTGATTTATCAAATCCAAGATCTGCTCATTTGGGTTGAGATCGGGGCTCTATAGGGGCCATTGCAGCATTTGAATAACTCCAGCAGCTTCTTTCTTAGCTAAGTAATTTTTGCATAGGTTGGATGAGTGTTGTGGTCATTATCTTTTTGGTAGTAGAATACTCAAACCACTGGGTACACCATGACGGATCAGTATCTGATGTTACTTACGCTGGTCCATTATTCCATCTATTTTGCAAATATCTCCTGTCACCTCAGCAGGAAAACACCCCCAAACCATCAGACTGCCTCCCCCATGCTTCATGGTAGGTGCTATGTATAGAGGTAAGTATCTTTTACCTTTCTTCCGCCGAACGTACAACCAACGCTTTGAACCAAATATTTCAAACTTGTACTTATCCGCCCATAACACCCTTTTCCAATCATGAGCAGTCCAGTTTTTGTACTTTTCAGCAATTTCAGTTTCTTGACAATATTTGGAGATCGAAGTAAAGGCCTTCTTGATACTTTAGTTCTGGACACTTTTCTGTCATTTGGTACATGGTCGTTTGTCTCATGCTTGAGATCAGTGGCAGTCTCCCTTCTGTCCCGAAGGCTGCATAAACGAAGATACTTAACGTCAGTATCATTGAGTTTAGGTGTTCTGCCTCTTCCTTTCTTATTTTCAAATTTACCTGTCTCGTTCTCACGATCTAGGGTGTACTTGACAGTGTTTGGGGAGCATTTCAAGTCTGCAGCAATTTATCCGAGAATCCAGACAGCATCACGTAAAGCTTTTTTTTGCGAATTCTATGCTCTACTGACAATTATCTACGCTTTTTGGGCCGTGGCATGACAACAAAACTTAATATAGTGTGTTAAACACTGTTTTTGTCAAGGTTTATTTGTGTAGTGCTATTAAATTGATTTCTTCTAGCATATACCGCTACCATATGCTACCTCCTTGCTAGGTTCTTTCTATATAGATAAGACACTGCATGGGGTACCATAACAGTTATTTCAGACCCTAAATTTGATTAGTATGTTCATTCAAGTGGAACCCTTATAACATGCCCTTGGTACAAGTATATGGGAATTCTAAAGAATGATAAGTATTCTCACCCTGGCTAATTCAGTTGTCAACAGGGATCAGTGAAGCATTACCATAGTGTTGAAATTTACATTCTGTAATGACATGGAAGAATTAGCCCATAACATGGAAAAATTGGCAAAATATTCTCTTGTCCTAACATTTTTGCATAGTACTATATACATATATATATATATAATGAGCACTAAGAAGATTTTAGTAAAGAATCCATTGTCAATCGTAGTTGTCACCTTAAAGTCATAATAGATAATGCCTATAGTAATAGCTCCCAAATGCATTGGAGATATGCCATCTACCAGACAAAATTAAATTCATTACTGTTTTATAGTGCTGATTTTAATCGCCTATGAACAATTAATGTAATTAATAGTATTGAAGCTATTTATTTTATTATATATATATATATATATATATATATATATATGTGTATACGTATGTATGTATCTGTGTGTGTGTGTTATTTTCAGAAACGTGAAATTGTTCATAATGGCACGCACTATATCATATATATATATTTTTTTATTTTGCTTTCAGGTTTACGGTATCACACTTAACAGATGAAATGAAGAACCAAAGAAAGGCACTTTGTTTACCTTTTTCAAAAACTTCCCTGACAATTGTACTGTGGTATTGCTTAATTTTATATAAGTTTATGTCTGCAGGTGATTTGTGTGTTTTTCTTTCATAAAACTAACAAATTATTCATCAGATTTTGGTTTTATTTACCACAATTAACAATCCACAGTTTGTTTTTATACATACGTGGTTTGATTTAAAGACATTTTATAATCAATATGTTCTTTGCTTCATCCACAAAGTTTCATTTGAATATTACTAATTCAAGTAAGAATAACAATGATTATGATTACTCGAAGACATATATTAACCCATTATAAACATATTATAATGACTCTTTATCGCTATATTTCTTCAGGTATACTGTTTCATCGTTCAATATATCTTTCTTGTACGGTAGATCACTCTAGACAAAATTATTTTTCAAAGTTAGCAGACTCTTGGAAACAAATCCAATAGATGACTGGTGGTAATAGAGATTATCGAAACTTGGTAATAAAATCGTGAACATTGGAAGTATTTAAACTTGAATTACTAGTATCCTGCAATCATATTAATAACGAATTTCTTCTTCTTCATCAGGATTCGGTACATGTTTTGGTCAGGTTCCCTCTCTGGAATTGTTACTTTGTTGTTGTATTACTCATAGTATGTTAAATTTTGTCCATTTTTCGCATTTTTAATAAACATACCCTTTTTTGTGCCACGTCCAATTCATGGGGTAATATTAACTTCACTTATGTATGATCACACTATTATTCCGTGTTCACAGTACAGTTCCGCTTCATACAAACACACACACATAATCCTATTTTTACATACAAAACCCTTTTAAAATTGAGCTACGTTTATGCTGTTTTATGCCATTAAGAAGTTCAACTTTACTCATTGTTTATGACTTTGTGTTTTCAAAATTATCTCAGTTATTATACATATACAATTGCAATACAAGAAAAATCAGCTTTACTGGCTTTTTTGCCTACTAGTAGCTCAGTGGCAAGTCTGTAGGCTTATAACGCTAACAATCGGGTTTTGATACCCGTGGTGAACAAATCATAGATAGCCTATCGTGTAGCTTTACGCTTAACAACAAACAAAGAAACTGTCTTTCCTTCATTAGCTCGGAACTGCAAATACAGCTTTTTGTTCTTATTTCTGAAATCAAAAATCCGATATGTATTGTGTATATTAAGTCGAACCCGATAACTCTGTGCTGAATAATATAAATATTTTCATTTAAGTTTTTGGTAAGTTACAAATTATATGTAAGTATTTCGAGCTCTGTTGTATTTCACTTATTGTGTTTTGTGTATAACACGGATAAATGTATTAAAAACACACACATCAACAAACTACAGCAAATACAAAACGAATGTTAACGAATTTTAACGAAAGCGTTTAGAGTCCCACGATCAACAAATTCAGAATTTTTACACAACTATTCAAACATGCCAACTCTATCAGACAGACTCCTGGATAACTCGCTTCAATATTATAAGAAACATATTAATAAAAATGAACTGATGAGCAAACTAGAGAGTTACATAATACACGATGAACCAAGCTCTAAATACCTCTCCCCTCTAAGCATCATAAATAAGAAATGTACAGTGCTAGGCTAACTGAATCCTGAATGTAACAGAAAGTAAAGTAGAGAAGATAATAACTTGTACATTGCACTAGTATTTTGTATCTAAGTTCTCGTCTTTATTCGGAACATTACACCTTGTTTTCGTGTTGCTATATAGTTTAGCAATCATGTACGATTGTGGAATATTGTTCTAAATGTACTGTATTCCCCACAATTCAACAAGACCTGTGGCCTTGTTTTGACCTTCCCAGTATTTACATAAATCCATGCTGCCTGAAAATGTCCATATTGGAACTTTGTGCAGAACAAGCCTTAGCTCTGTGTGTGTTCCATTGGCTTCTTTACCATCAAAGTATATCGTTTCACCACACATGCTATATTCTTAGGATCATTGTCTTGTTGGAAGGTGAATATCTGCCCAAAAAATATGGCCTGCAGAGATCACAATACCGTTTGCAGAAATGCAGCTCCAAGTTTGTACTGTTACATCCTCCCCCATGCTTCACTGCTCTGTATTGTCGAAATTATTGTTGTTTGTTATTTAAAAATCTAAATTTGGATTCATCTGTGAAGAGTAAACTTCTCCATTTTTTCACAATCCACTGTTTGTGGTCAGGTGTCCATTTCGACTTTTTGGTTTGGCTACCTTCTCTCAGCAACGGTTTTCGATTACCAAACGTCCATTGATCTATATATAACTTACTGTTCTCGAGGTAACATTGCCACCTGTATTTACAGCAAGGTCTTTGGCAAGATCTGATCTCAGCTGTTGCCTATCATGAAAAGAGCAAAGCCTGAGATACTTAACATCAATTTTATAGTCTGGCTTTTCTATCTCCGCCACTAATATTATTAACAGTCACAATTACACGTACCCTCTTTAAAGTTTTTCATATAGGTTTTAATAAAAAACGTAGTTTCGCCGCAATTATTTAAATGAACTAACCATAACTTTGATTTCTAGCTGCTTATCATGCAGTATTTCAGCCTTGGAGCCATGACAGGGTCACGATACTATTACGGCTATAGTACGTCTGCCCATCTAGCAACTCCACCCCGTAAAAACCAGCCTGCTACAAGTAACTGCAACAACACCTTCCGTT